ATTCAGTAATCTGTGAAGGTAAAGAAAGGATAAGATCCCTCTTTAGAGCTATCAGTGGTTAACTGATTATCATTTCAAAAGGCAACACACATACATACATACACACACACACAAATCCCTAGAAAACAAACAGAGACTGTTTATCTCAGAAAGTGCCTGGAAGTAGGAACTGATTAGAGGCATATCTAGTCTGACTAGCTCCAGTGTGACTCTTATTCAAATGGTTCGGCAAGAAAAAACAATGGCTTTTTTTAAAATAAGAAAATATGTGTTTTAAAGAATATGAATTTTGTCTAAACATGTACTGGGGTTTTATGCACAAAATCATTTAGGTAATGCAGAGATCAACAAAGTACTAGCATGTATCCTGAGCATTCTAAAACTTAGGTTTAAATGAATAAATTAAGATGTAATATAACATTCTAAAATATTGCTGATCCTTTCTGGCTTTTAAAATTTTCTTTTAAAAAGAGACAGGACAGGGTCTTGTTATGTTGCCCAGTACGGCCTTGAGCTTGCGAAAGTCCTGTACCAGCCTCCCAAGTAGCTGGGACCACAGGTGTACCTCACTGCATCCCAGCTTGACAACCCTTTCTCTAACTGAACTATCTAAAATCAGTCTTCCGTTAGGTTGTTTTTTAAAGAATCACTAAAACAGCAGACTAACTCCACGTCAAAACTCAAAGAAAAAGAGAAATTAAGTCAGCAACAGGCAATTCTTGGACCAATTCTTTGGTCCGCTGAAGTTACCACAAAAAAAAAAAATGGTTTTTAGAAACCACTGAACAGAGGGGCTTCATTTTAAAATGAGTTTGAAAATTTTAACAAGTAATATGTATACTCAAACATATATAATGCCAAATATTCACATGCTATGGACCAGCATCTTGTTCTCCTGTGCTGATAGATCATATGTACAAATGACTACACTGCTCTTCACCTGCTGCCCCACTGTAATGAAATGAAATCTATGTAAGTGCAAAGTTAAATTCCTTGAGTTGGCAGGATTAAGACTAGAAATCTTAAGAATTTAAATACATCATAGTTAACAAACTTAAATAATAAATGTTTGTGCTTAAGGCACAAAATAAACTTAATACTGAAGTGAAAGTGGAATTTCTGCTTAATTTCCTAAATTCTTAATAGCCACCATTAACAGTTCTAACAGGTAGCAGGTAGCATGGTGGTTAAGGTGCTGGATTCCCTCATGGGTGACCACAGTTCGAGTCCTGGACCTGGTGGCTTGCTTTTTCACTTTCTCTTTCTCTCTTTCTGGTCAAGTTAAAAAAATTATGATGATAAATATAATTAAATATTTTTTTATCCTAACCCGTAAGTATGCAAAAGTACTCCTTTATATCTGTCACTTTGAAAACAAACGAAGTCACAAAACTAAAAATACTTCAGATTTTTCATTTAAATGTTTTTTTTAAAGAGATTAACTGTCATAGTAAACTATTTTGCAAACTAATCAAAATTACATTGGTTAAAATATTTTTTATGAATGAAAACTGTAACATCAAAAAAAGAATACTGAATTCAATGTCTGTGTCCTTATTACTCCCATGTTAATACACTTTCAAATAAAATAACTAATCAGTCTTCATATAAAACAATTATTACTGCGTTAAGTGCTGATTCGGTGGAGAAAAATTAATTAGAAAATTTTCAGTAGTGTCTTGCTTTGCATTTAATCACCCCATATTCTTTTAGATAAAAAGCCACACAAGGTCAGCCAGGTGATGGTGTGCTTAAGGTGGCTGGATCCCACATGGCTGACTACATAGTGCAAGTCCCAGACGCAGTGACTAAAACATATGCTGGGCACGTGGGTGTGCACGCTCAAAATGTCAAAAGGAGGATGGAGAAGAGACTGTGTTGTTGTCATGCCCCCTGGGGGGTGCTTTCTCACTTTCTCTTTCTCTCTGTCTCTCTCTGGTGACTGCATGTATCATTTTTTTTTAAGTCACACAAAAGGACAAGTCACAGACATCATATTATCACAAAATCTCATTCCCAGCAAAGATACTCTCTCTTTAGCCCATTTTCTGCAGTTACCCTCACCTCCTCAATTCCTCTAATATGAAAGTAAGGAGTGAAGGGAGAAAGAAGATGGTATGGCTTCATTTTTAAGCACAATCTCCCTCTATGCAGTGATGCTCAAAGAATTCCTTTTGAGAAATAAAGGTGTAAGAAACATGGCCCACAGATTCACTTGGAACGAAATTCCTAAGAAAAAGGTTAACTCATTGTTCTTTCTTTTCACAAGCTTCTTTTTTAAAATTAAAGCAAATCATACCTATTTTAAAAGAATCAGAATTTGAGGACCAGCAGGTGGCGTGGTAGTAGTTAGAGTTGCTGGACTCCCACATGGCCGACTGCAGTTCAAGTCCCAGATCTTGCTTTCTCACCTTGCCCCCCCTCCCCCACCGTCTCTCTCTATTCAAATTCAAAAATAATAAATAAAGTTAAATAAAGTAATTATTTTTTAAAAAAATCAGAACTGGCACAAAAACATTTTTTAACAAACTATCATATTATACCCAAGAATATTTTTTCTCTAGATAATTTTGTATCCAGATTATTTTTAAAAATCACTGGTTTAAAAATAAATTATTCAACAGATTCACTGGGCTTATTCTGGATAGAGGAGACAGGAAGGTCTCACTGGAAAACTGAGATTTGAGCTGAAGAGAAAATGAGCAGCTAGTGAGGTGAAGCTCTGAGGGAAGAGAATTCTAGGGCAAGGGAACTGCAACAGTGAAGGATTCAGACAGGACTTCGTTAAGGGAGAGGCCTGTGGCAGGGAGTCTAAAGGGGAGAGGGCTGGGTGATAAGATGAAGGACTTCTTGATTAGTATTTGAAACTGGTCCAAATCTATCTAAAATCGGTCTTCTTTCAGGTTGTTTTTAAAGAATCCCTAAAACAGCCGATTAACTCAAAACTCAGGAGCAAAGAAAAAGAAGGCATTCAAATTAAGTCCTATCATTATAATAAAGATTAAATTTCTGACGCCTGCTGAGAATCCCTGCAAGTAAGAGATTATAACACCTCACACACTCCTGAAACATTCTCACCATTTGCATCCCCTGCTAAATTTCCACAAAGGTGCTCAGAATTTACTTTATGCTCTCTGGTGATAGACAAATTTCCATGCTCTTTTATTACTATGGGCTGTACATACCCTGAGGTACTTTTGCTATAATAGCAGACTCTTAGCCTCCACATTAAAGCAAAAACAAAGCACTGGCAGAAAATTAAATATAGAATTAATTCTGCCTACTGACCTAAGAGAGACTGAATTTCTGGTCACGGGGCAAAACTTGATTTATCTTCTTACATGCAGACTGATGACAAGGTGGTTTTACGTTGTGGTCGGAGAGTTGGTTCGCCTAGCACATCACCAATAATCTCCCTTCTCAGGTCATGGCCCTTTGTCCAAAGGTTTCATTAAGAAGGATTTATAAATGTGTCTGAAAAAGTATAAACTAAAGAGTCTAACTGCATAACCTATGTTTAAAAAGTCACTTCTGAACATATCAATAGAAAGCCCACAGCCTAGCAGTTAGTCAGTTTCATTTTCTTATTTGACAACCTGTGGCAGATGGCACGTGTGACCTTGGCATCCCGCCCAGGTTTGCATGGACTGACAGGAGTTTAAGGCTGGAGGGAGCATTTCTTTAACCCTGGGTGACAGGTCATGCTGGACCTGTGCCTCATCTGGGTGTATATGAGGCTAATTCCCCAAGCCTTTCCATGAACATCCACACTGCCAAGGACCTGTGTGAGCACACAGCAGAAGCAGTACTTGACCTCTGTTCTTTAAAGAGGGCTAATAAACTAGTGGAAATTGTGACACCCCCCCCATCTTTATTTGATTGTTCAAAGCTTCTTCCCTATATACTTGGAAATATTCTTAAAACAAAAGTCAATGTTGCTTGGCAAATTCAATGTCATTCCTTTGAGACAAACTGGATCACAAAATCTGAACTGAAAATCATCATTACAGCAAAACTTAGAAAAAGAACTATCTACCCAGGTGCAAAGGTATACGTGACAAAACAAAAAGCTAAACTGGTGCTACTATTTAGTGTGAGGAAATGAGCTACTAAACAAATCTCACATCCTAAAAACCATTTTTAAAAACACTTTGTTCCTTCCATAATCAGCTATGTAGCCTTATTCAACCACCATGTTTTTACTCAGGTGCGTTAGATGCTTGGGAAATGAAGGCAAAGGGGACACTTCACATGCCTGGGTTAGATAAGTGCCACAGAAAAAAATGCCAACACATCCTGAAAGTAAAAATCCTTGACAGTCTCAAGAGGCCAAAGACATACACTTGCACCCCAGAGCCCCCAAAAGTTCACGGAATTGAGGTAAAAGCACGGAGGTCACTGCTCAGGGGCTAGAATTAACAGGAGACCAAGCGCACCTGTAAACCGCAGTTTGAGAGGAAACTCAGACGACAAAAGAGTTGCCTGCAGTCACCCACACCTCCTCAACCCCGCCCCCGAGTCCTTCTTTATAAATAGAGGGTTTTTGCAGGGAACTGTCCAAGGTTACCACCTGATATGGAGGAATGTTTTGGTGCGGGATGCCAATAAAATAAAATCGCATACTCCGTATATTTACAGAGCACTGCTATACTACACGCAAGTGTGGACCAAGTGTCAGCCCAGGCAGCAACAACATAAAATAAGACCTTTCTCAACAGGATTAAAACATCAAGAAGACGTTCTGATGAAACTGACCGAAAGAGGGAGATCTCTAACTTCCCAAAGCAGCAGCGGCCCCTGGAAAGGTACTGGAACCAGCGGAAGTTACACGTCCAGGACACAAGTGCCCCCCTCCCCAGTGGTAAAAGTTTGAGCCGAGATCTGACTATCCCACGGTGGTCGGAAACTTCCCTGAACAACCAGAAGCAGGCGGACACCCTGAAACCTCTGCCCTCGGACAACTCCAGCGCCGTCCTCATGCCCTCCGCGCCGGCCCTCACCTCCTCGGCGTGCTTGCGCAGCGCCTTCTCCCGCTCGTACTGGGTGATGAGCTGCTCGTTGTCGTCCCGCAGCAGCTCCAGCTCCACCTGGTGCTCCTGGTCCTGCGCGAACACCGAGTCCAGGTTCTCCAGCACGGCCACCACCAGTGGCATCAGCTCCTTGACCACCTCCTCGTCGTAGCGCCCGATGAGCCGCTCGAACTCGCGGTAGATGGAGCCGGCCAGGCCGGA